CCGAGAGCGCGAAGTAACGGTTTGTGGACCCCGTTCATTCGCGTCCAAAAGCGCGTTTGAACGAGGATTGAACGCGAATTGAACGCGTGTTCAATCTTTTAACGCGGACCCCGCGTTAAATCGATTTTCGGACACACAGCTCTTCTGACTGCTTGCTGATATGATGTTGAGTGACTTGCTGATTAGTTGCAGATTGAGAACTGAATGACGAATGACTTGCTGGTCTGAAAGAAGCACTGATCGATTGTTGATTATAAAACAGACGAGTTGCTGATCTAAAAGAAACTGATTGATTGCAGATCCTGAAGCTGCTTGAACCCCAAAGCTGCTCAAAGTTACTAACCGAGGACTGACTGTTGCTGAGTGCTGAGTATTGGCCCGAGCACCGCTCTGAATACTGCCTGAACATTTGTCTGAGTATTGTCTGAATATTGTCTCAAAGTTGTGACTCACTATGTTACCTTGCTACAGGTGGAGGTTTCAATCGGTTGCCATTAGAAGTTGATAGAATTTCGCGTGTACCACTGCGCGGTGTTTAGAGTGCTGCAGAACTCATACAAGTCTTTCCCTCGCCTGTTCCATACTCTCTAGCATGGAACTGGTACTGTGTAGTTTGTTGTCAGACCCGCAGAAATAGATTACGTATTCGATGTATTTCTTCTCACCTGCTATTCCGACTGCATGCTCTCTCTGCATTTGCCAGAGGGTTTCCATGTCTTTACACACTTCTTCTTCCCATCCCTCTTTCTTTTCCCTGATTAGTGTGCTCTTCACCACTAGGATCTCATCGTCCTTCATGTTTCCCCCTTTTTTTCTTTACACTCAGATCACACAGTTGTAAGCCTCGAATTCTAGGTAAGTAGCCATCCTCTAGTATGAAGTAATTTGTGCGCAGGCTGGACGGTGTTTGATAGCTGTCTGGTTGCTGATCTGGTTACAATAGTTTGCTGCTTTTCGTCTCTTGTTGGCTTGCCGTATGTTTGACTAGGACTAGTCTCAAGTCTGGTTCAGTTCCTCTATTTAATATTTGTTCGTTTACCCAAGGAATATGAGACTGGTTTTCTCTCATTGGCACCCACAGACTGCTCTCCTTGCCTCCTCAACGGAGCCCACCGATGAGATGGTTGCACACAGTTTTCCCCATGGTTGGATTACCGCTCCTCTTATCAGTTAACTCGTGCTCGGGGCCGACATCTGTCTATTGCAACACTTCTGGTAACTGTGAATCGTAAAAGCCCCAGGGCAACTCATACCGGTTTGGCGATGCTTAGGGTCCCACTTCAGGTTCGATTATGAGGTGATGTCAGACAATTACTCTTTCCTAGTTCATGGGGTGGACAAGCCAGTACTATACTCAGTTTGTTTCCACGTTCAATAACTTACTGAACATTTTCCCAAGTAGTACTGCATGATCAAGTGGCCACAGGTGTCCTCCGAACATGATTAACAAAAGGCTTTGAAACAGGGGACTGTTCCAAGGCTAAAACTCGGCGGTTATAATCAGGCTAAAGGAAACTGCAATTGGCAACGAGTAGTTAAGTGGTTTAAGGTACATGTCGAAGGACCCCTGCGTCCGATCGGGTTCAGTACACGAGGGGCTCGTTCGGGATATGTCTACCCGTCCAGGCCACGTTTGTAAAAGTAAGAGCATGACAATTTGCTCGTTCGTTACTTAGCGGTAGTGATGCTTATCTCTACACTGGTACTCCTAGGCCTCATAATTTTAAATGTTGAACAGAGAGTCCGAAGACGGCCCTTTCTTGTAAGAGGAATACACGGTATCGTTAGTGAAGGCCCTGGTTACTATGTGTCGCAAGTCAAAGGTTCTGCTTGATTAGTTCTCGGATTACCGCGGAGGGAAGGTGATCTTCATCCGAGCAATACAAGAATTACTGCAGATAGTAGTTCGCGTTCAAGGATCCACGCAAGGGCTATGCAGAGTGACACTCGAAACAGTCCTTGCGAGGATTGTCCATCCTAGTTACTCATAGCTAATCTCCATCGAGCAGAAACCTCGCCATCAAGTAAGCCACTTTTCTCAGCAGTTGACTCCTTCCCTTATGACTCATCACTTGACAGCAACGTTCCAGATTACCATGCTCTCATACATTTACTGTATTTGGTAAGATCACGTAATCTCATCGGTGATTTGCATTTCCCCCGGCCATTCGCACTTTCGTTGACTCGAGAGATAATGCAACTCTAAAAACCACGGGCTCTRCGTGGCTGCACAAGATCCCCTAGAGTGACCACGYACCGCATAATCGTTGTATCCGYGAACGTGYCCAATTGAACGCTCGTTCACTCATTCAAGYACTTATTAGGATCACAGATCAARAGAACATGCAAGTTCGTTTACTCRTACATGCTTTCGGCCACACCWGAGTATAGAAACTCGTGAGACCGTAYGCTCGCACGACTGTCTGCGAGGGGTGARGAGATAGMCTGAAGTTCTATYTGCACTTATGCTCCSAACCCCTGTCAAGCCCACACTCTCAGCATGAAAGCAAGGCTCTTAGRCAATYATCGCTGGAAATYACAAACGAAGTCAGARAGCRTCACAAAGATCCAAARCTTATTTTGTATTGTTTCTTGTTCCAAAATTGCCAATCTCCTTTTTTCCCTAATTCTTCTCAATGCCCCCGTTATTCAATCAAGACTTCAGGAGTTGATTATCAGCACGAAAACCAGGGGTGATGATCAGGGCATCGTCTYRTTCATTTYTTGTTTCACTTGACTCTATTTAATGATACTCGCTTCGTTAGTAAACTCACGAGTTCTTCGCCCCGATCTTTTTGTTTCTACTGACACTAAAGTGTTAGTAAACCATAAGACAGTCACTACGTCCTGACTCTCACAACCACAAGGATTAGAACACTGAGCGAAGGGGATGGAGTTTTCTTGTGCTAATGCTTTGACAGGGAGTGCAAACATTAGAGAGTGAATTTATATACAATCAAACATTATTTAGCTCTTGTCCCTGACCAACAAGCTCAATTAACTAGGTAGTTGTCACCAAGTTACCAAGCAAGGATGAGGGTGACGTCAACCATCAATTACTTATCCTTTTCATGCCTCAGAAACTTATCTGGCCAAAAATTGAACAAACGCACGGTAGACCAGCTGCTTATCCGGTCACAACCTATTCTGCTTGGTCGAAGATGGCRWACGTCTTCGTTYGCTCCAGATAGTAAGTAATGATCAAGACCCCAATTCAGCTATCTCAGAYCCTCGACCCCAAGACTATTYGAGCTCCTCTTAGGATATATYTGACTTTTGCTTGGACTTTTCTATCTTACATTCGTGCAGTAGCAKGAGTCATCACAYTGAACACACRCGTAGCGTGAGGAAGAGAACACGGTCYCCTCCTACTCAAGGGATTATGCTGCTCAGTTAACCCAGAGGAACGTTCCAGATACGCTCCTTGCTGGGGGTGAAGACAACGACACAGGGACTTAGCTRCTGATGTCAACAAAAGCTATCGACGGCACACTGCAGTGTCCTCAGTTCTCCTTCGCGAATTTTCTCTTGGTCTCGTTACTCACCTACCTTCTCTTGGCATGTCACTATTGATGGCGAGAAGAAACCATATTCCGACTCTCAGATCAGCCCCGTGATGATGCTAATGATCGCTTACCATGGAACGATTATCATCAGCGCGAGTAAGTAGCGACTAACTTCTGCTGCTAACGCGCTCACTCTCTTTTATTTTACTTCGTCCTCCCCCTTTTTTTTTTCTTTTTTTTTTTTCTTCGTTCTGGACCCTTGCCCTCAAGCCATAGGTCGCAGACTCCAATCTCAAAAATCCCACACCAATTAGTAGGAGAAGGGTGACATCACCAAGAATACTACTCAAAAGTCCGAGCCTCCTTTCTTGTCTATTCCCTCACGACTTCCTCCGCAACTAGCTCGTAGCCAAAACAGATCACGCATACACCGATTATAGTAGATGCATCGAGCCTCCCCCTGTTTACGCAGGCACCAACTCAGCTTCTCACTGGTCACTCACCAATTAGCAGGTAATTACAGCCCACGGACAAGTGAAAAGCTGCTGATCCATGTCCAAGACAGGGAGGGACCGTGCTCAGCACGCGGCAAGCGGATCGAGTAGCAACCTACACCACGCCCTGCAGACTAGCCTCTCTTAACGGATACTTCTCATGTTGTTCGGGCAGGTTCCCCCTTTTTCCCTTATCTTTTCGTCATTGTTGCAGCTACAGTCACGTCTCGCGAGCATACGAGCAACGACTGGCGTACAGGTGCAGGCACGTCACGCGAGCGTGCGAGCAGTAGTTGACATCAACCGCACTCTGCAAGCTCACGTCCTGCTTCGCTCACACAGTCGCTCCATCCGCTGACTCTCCTCTCACTCACTAGGCCACGTCTCGCACGCTCTCGTAACCGCCCCGCGATTGCCTGTCTCTCCCCTCGTTGACCTCTACTTCTCTCGTGTGTCCCTCTTACACGTGTCTTTTCCCCCTGTTATCCTTCTCTCCCGCCCCGCGGCCTCTGGGCGTCAGTTGCCTCGAGCTGGCCTCGGGTCCCTCCTCCACCGGCTTCACGGCCCGGTGTTGCCTCTGGACCTCGCCTGGTCTGTTCCATGACCTGAAATCCGTCTCCTAGTCTGCGTCACTGATCTCACTTTCCCCTCCCGAGTCTTTGTCCTGGTGGATCTGTTCCAGGTCCGCTGTGTCCATCGAGGTCTCAGTCTCGTGGTAAGCCACCGTTATCCGTAGCCTTGCCGTCACTCCGTCCCGTCTACAGCGTCTCTCCGCTCGGTGTCTCGCCTCCGAAATCGCGTCCTGCAGCTTCGGGTTAGTCCACATCTCTCCCTCTCTTGCTCCCTCCACGTTGATCTTCAATAGCACTTCATCTCCACCGTCGTAATTGAGTATGACGGTAATCCAGGGCCATTCCCCAGACACGGGCTTCCAACGGGCCTGGTGATACCAGTACCCGGGCCTGTACCCATGCAGGGCCATAGCCACTCTTTCTCAATAGCCAGCGTCAGTGCCCTGTTCGCACTATCCCTATTCGGAGAAGTAGTTATCCAGGCTGAATCCAGAGTGCCTGGAATCAAGGCTCCCGCGCAATACCACTACTCACACTCGAGGAGTGATAACACTCCCCTCACGTATTTTCCTCAAGATCCAGGGGCAGCCTCTGTTTTATAGAGCTATAGGCAAGTGCGACCCCGGTGTGTTCTAAACGAAAAGCTTCAGGGCTCAGTAAAAATTCGGAAGTAAACAAAATAATTTTAAAACTGTGATTTTTCATAAAAGAAAACCAAAGAAAGGAAAGAAAAGAAAAGAACGTATGGCCGCGATATCCACAGGCCTTCTGCTATCGGTCCCAGTCGCTTCGTCTCACTAAAGGGTGACTGCTATTCTGAGGTGATGGTCCCATAATGGGATACCGGCGATCACATTCCCCCCTTTTAAAATACAACTTCGGCCTATCCCCATCGGGTACCCGTGTCCGATGGCAAGGAGGGGGCTTATGACCCTTCTTCGGGGGTGATAGGTTCCCTACCAATGAGGCCGCGGGTCGCCCTTCTTTTCGGGCTTAACCGCGCGACACTCAGTCTGCGCTCATTCTCAGACGGAATAAGCGGGGCAGGCCAACTCGGACTACAACTCCAAATTCGGACCGTTGGCCTTCCCGCGAAATGACAAAAGGGAAAAGGAAGGCCTCGCTTGAAAACCGGTAAGGTAATAATAATAATAATAATAATAATAATAATAATAATAATAATAATAATAATAATAATAATAATAATAATAATAAATGTGGAAAGAAAGGATGAAGCTTCAAATTTCCTTCGCGCCACAGCTTCGCCTGAATAGCGGTGCAAGCCCACGCACAAGCCCAAAACCCGATTTTCATCCTTACCCCCTTTTCTTTCTTTTTCACACTTCCTTTTTTCAGGCCCACTGTATCTGCCCTGTAGTACAGCTACTGGGGTCCTACCGCGTTAACTAGACCTTTGTTTTTCTCTTCCATTTTTCTTTTCTTGCTGCTTTTTGTTTAGCCTTCTGTTTCTCTGACCGCTGTCAGTGTCATGCATCTGACCCATAACCCTGTATAGGGGCGCTTGCTGCATAATAGAAAAGACATCACCTATCCCTCTACTTTCGCGTCCCAGGGCGAGCCCGACGGCTACCACGGCCACAGGCCGGTTGTGCTCTGCTGTACAGCAGGGCGCCGAGCCTGCGTGGACCAATGGAAAGTCCTGCGGCGCACCTTTTTATTGAGGCAAGCGCCAAGCAGGACCGGTCCACGTCATGGTATAGCCCAGGTACCAAGTGTCATAGTGTTTCTGGAGTAGCTTCAGATCGCAACACTAAAACTAAGAGTGGTACCAAGTAGGGACTTGGTACACGGAGGAGGGCCGGGACACCGCGCCGTCCGACATAATACCAAACCCCCACCCAGCGTCCCCGCTGGGTCGAAACGCACGATCAGCCAGTATAAACACTCTAGACTAGCGGTAGACTCACTCACTCTCATTGCCACTCGCGGCGACGCTCGCACAATAGTCTTGCGTTGTCCTGGTTTTCCACACGTCTGCTTTAACTGCACTCTTCTTCTTAACTTCTTTCAATCTGCACCGTTTTTTTCTCCCTTTTTTTTCTTTCGTTTTGCTGTTCGCTACTCTCGTTCCTGTTTTATTCCACCATAACACACCTTCCTTCCCTTCTTAGTAGTGTGCCCATTTCTCTTTTCTACGCCATGCCGCGGCGTGGACAGGGTAGAGGAAGAGGTGGTAGGGCATGTAAAGCCAAAGAAGATCCGCCGGCTAGGGCACGACGCGGCTATAGCTCTGAAGAGGAGGAAGAGGAGGACCCACAAGGCTACGGCCGTTTAAGGCCATACCCTCGCTACTCGTTAGGAGGGTGGTACGAGAGAACTCCGTCTCCTGACAGGATGGAGTTACTTCGCAAGAAATTYGACGCGCGMTATGGTAYACCCAACGCCTCTTCKCCTCCTTATATCCCCMGAGYTCCTTCCACCCCTGCCGTAAGCAAGGCTRTAGTGCYCGCTCCGCCTCCCTCKGTTCCATGTACTGYCTCATCACCCCATCATCCYAGTCAYTGTGTTCTCTTCARCATCTTMTTTCTTCTCTTCCTTTTCCAGCTTGAACTYATGGCTGTCTTTTATGTCTTATATAAGCGCGACTTCTTTTCAGCCTTTTGAATCCGATTTTTGGCTCACAAAATTCTCAATCCAGTCCACTTCATAGCGTCCTGGGCCTGAGAGTTTGGCTTCCTTAGGCCAGGGACGCCGGTTCCTCGTGAACCAGGCCGCTTGTCGGCCACCAAATGAATTTAAGAAGGATTATATTTCCATTTTCTTTGCTTACAGTTGATTCTGGCTTCTTATCATTTTGAGGTCTGTCCTCACCTTGATCTCTACAGCAAGGAAAGTTACCTTGACTTCCACCTCAGCTGAAAAGATCAAAACATCATCAGTCTGATATCACTACTTGAGTCACTTGTTCAGTCTGCCATGCTGAAGGTAGAGCATACCAAACCCTCTTTTCTGCTTTCTGGCCTGGGCAAGATATCCCTCCAACTTCTCACGTGACTCGGGAAATACCAAACCCTGTCTTCTTTCTCTGGTCTGAGTGAGGCGTCTCCTCAACTTCTCAGACAAGGAAAAGGATACCAAACCCTTTTTCCTTTTCTCTAGCATGAAGAACTTTAAACAAGTCTTTGTATTCTTGCAAAACAGAAAATTTCACACAACAGATCCCAGCCCCAGCAGGCAGACCCTCTGACAACCGGTAGTCAAGCATTAATAAAATAAAATAAAATAAAATAAAACCTATAAATAAAATAATAAATAATGAATTATAAATATCACATAACAACCTCTCATACCCAGGAACTATTGATTGCCTTAGTTTCGGCCCACCACTGGCCAGGAGTGTCAGACGTCTCGTCAGTCTCACATACCTCATTCGACCTGCCAGGACTAGTCATACCATTTGTCTTGACAACCCCTTTGACCTGCCTCCAGGTCAGGACCAATCATACCCACTACTCGAGTATGACAGCCCTTTGACACTCTCGCCAGGACACCCAGACTATTGCGGGTCTGGACACCCTATGACAGCAGATGTCCCGTCAGTCAAACTGTCCCAAATCCGGATTTGACCACTGCGGTCAGGGACCGGCTCACCTACCAGTTTTTTGTCAAGGGCGCTGGCTGCCCCGCCCAAATTTTTGAACGCAGGACCCAGTCTAACTACGATTTAAGGCTCTGGCTAACCTTACTGGATTACATCCTCTGACTGCGGTAGGGTTCCAGCTGACCCCTTTCAACCTCATAGGCCAGACTCCCGGAGCCTTAGCCTCAGTCGACTACGGAATTCGACACTCGCGTTGGGGACCTGCTGACCCCACCAGATTGCAACCTACTGTGGTAAGGCTCTGGCTGGCCCCGACAATCAACGCATCCTCAGGTTAGAGAAGAAAACCCCAGGCACAGACAATCAGGCAAGCATCTCATAACCCACAAGCAGACTGCCCACGCCCCATAACAGAACAAACATTTCTCAAGAGACGTCCCGCCAGTCTCAAGAGACACTGAACAACAACATGATAACCAGCACCAAGCCCTTACAGGAGACCTCCCTTCAATCTCAAGAAGGATGCTTAGTGCTGGTCCCAGAAAGGTCCCTTCCCTCAGCTGAGAATTTCCTTTTCTTTTCCAAGAGACGTCCCGTCAGTCTCAAGGAAGTACTAAAATGCTGATCTCAGAGAGGTCCCTTCCCTCATCCGAGCGAAGACAGGTCCTTAGCCAAAGGCACGAAGTCCCTCTACTGACCATTCTCAGTCAAGTAAAGTTGAACTTCTTTATACCTGCCTTCATCTGAATCTCTTGGATGGATATTTTACTCAGAGACACGAAGCCCTTCTGCTGATAACTCTAAGTCAGTCAGAACTGAACTCCCTCACGCCTACTATACTCTTCTCTTTATCTTAGGATAGTACTGATCATATCTTTTGATATGCCACAGCCATGAGCTTCTCGAATCTTTGACACCGTGTCAATACTCACGAAATTGATTTTACAGTTATTTCCCTACTCTCAGGGACTTGACACTCATGGAACGACTATAGCACTGCATCAAAAGATATAGTCTTAGTCGTTTGCTGATATACTGAATGAAAGGACTTGCTGAAAACTGAGATACTGAAACTGAGATGTTGAAACTGAAAACTGAAATTAAATTACCGAAATTGAAATGATGAAACTGAAGTTCTGAAACTGAAATGCTAAATCTGAAATGCTGAATTGACTATGCATGAATGATCTGAGTCCACTTAAACCGAGTCTTGCCGTCTCAGCGTCTCACTGTACTCTTTCTCCCAGTCCTCTATGATTGTTTTCTCACTTGGATGACTGACTTCTCTTTCCTCTCTTTGAAGTCACTATAGGGATCAAGTCAGGATCTCTGAAGATAAACTTACGAAGTCTTGACCCTGACACCATGTTGTGAACTCTGGATCCATCCATCTCTGAAATCTCATAAACTATGCCCTCTTCTTCCCCTGTGATTCTGTAGGGACCAAACCATTTGGGCTTCAACCTTTTAGTCCATTGCGTCTCAAGGGAACTGTCAAACAGAAGGACAACATCTACGATCTTAAATTTCTCTTTTCTTATATATTTTTTCTTGTTCCATCTTTCTTGATCCGATAGTCTGTTGGATGTCATCCTTTCTGCAGCATCCATCACTGCCTGATCAACCTCTGATATTTGCTTTATCCGGATTTGAAGAAGCTCTGAAATAGAATAGTCTCTGTCACTTTCTTGACTTGACCATGTCTTGACCATACTTTCAATTGGCAATGTAGCATATCGGTCATACCACAGAGTAAATGACGCATATCCAGTAGTTCTATTGACTGTGATGTTGTCAGCATACACAGCAGCTCTTAATACTCTTGACCAGTTACTGAGATTTCCTTCACACCACTTGGCCAAGGAATCTTTCAAAGTTTTGTGCCCTCTTTCAACAGGTGCATTTGCTTGAGGATGGTAAGTAGTCACATACCGAGTTCTGACGCCTAACCTGAGTGTGGTTCTTCTAACAATCTCATTTCTAAATTCCGACCCTCTGTCTGAGACAAATTCTCTGATAAAAGGATATCTGAGATAGACTTTTTCTATCCAGTCAGCCACTTGCTCGACTGTCTTTCTTTTTAGATTTTTTGCCTCAACATATCCAGATAAATTATCTCTCATGTTCAATATGTATCTCATCCCACCCTTGCCTTGAGGCATAGTGATGAGATCCAGATGAACTCTGCTACCTGGCTCTACCAGGATTGTAGGGAATAGGGGCTCAATCATTCTTGTGGTAGACCGCTTCTGACATAATACACATGATTTACAGTATCTGTAAATCACGTCTCTCATGTCAGACCAAAAGTAGAGTTTGACGGTTTTGGAGTCGGTTGCCTCAGCAGCCCTGTGACCACCAACAACCCCTTCATGTAGAGCAACAATTATCTCTAACTGCCTCTCTTTACCACAGACCACTCTTAGTGGGTGTAGGCCTCCCTTACCATCCACAAAGAGATGTCGTCTTTTTAGTCTGAATTTCTTCCTTGAATTTTTACAGTAATATTCTTTTAGCTGCTCCTTTTCCATCTTCTTGCCAATCTCTTGATAACTTTTATCATATTCTTCAAAGAAGAAAAATATATCTTCTTCCTTTTTTTCACTATCTTCTTCTTCCTTTGAACCCGAACTTTCCCCAATTTCATGAGCAGCCACTGCTGCTGCATTAACTCTTGCATACCAATCGTTTGGTTCATCTTCTTCTTTTTTCCCTAGAATCGACTCATAAACATACGCACTTGAGATTTCTCCCCAGCTGTCTTTCTCTTCTGGCCACAGACTCCACTTGTAGGAGCATAGTGCTTCATAATCCTCATCATATTTTTCATTAAGGAAATTATCAACATAGGCAGATTCTTCAATTGTTCCATTCACATCTTCTTCCTCTTCTTCTCGCCACTCAATCCATCCGCTCTGTTTTTCTCAGTAGAATTTTTTTCCAGCTTAAAATCATTTGTCCAGATGAAGGCGATCCATCTGCTAATTGTTGGATCTACCTGTTGGTGCTTTTTAATGGCACCAATCACAGCAGATGCATCAGTCCTCAGGATGAACCTCCTTCCTAGTACGTAGTGCCTAAAGCACCTGAGGCTATGGATGATTTACAATAACTCTTTCCTGAATTGAGTATAGCCTTTTTCTGTTGAATTGAGAGTCCTGCTCTCAAATCTCAGAGGTCTCTCTCTCCCATTTTCATCTTTCTGAATAAGCACTCCACCCAGAGCAACTGGTTCTCCATCCACCTCAATGATAAGAGGCCTCGCCTCTTCATCATCATAAAATGACACTCCTAGCACTACACCACCATCTCTTAATTTTTCTTGCAATGTTTTTGTTGCGGCTTGCCTTTTATCATTCCATGCTAAGTTAGCCCATTGTCTTATCATTTCCCTCAGAGACTCTGCAAGGGTAGCAAAGTGAGGAATACAAATCCTCCAGAATCCACAGACTCCCAAGAAGCTCCTGACGTCTGTCACTCTCTTGAGAGGCAGAGGCCAATTTAAAATCTTATCTATCTTCTTGGGATCTGGACTCCTACCCTTGAAGAAACATCTGAAGCCCAAGATTATCACCTCTGGCTGAAAAAGAAGGGACTTTGACCCACTGGCAGTCAGATTATACTTCTGAAGTCTCTCTAGGACAATCTTTACTCCTTCAGCATGTTCCCAGACAAACTTTTTGACTCCCCGTGCGACCAAAGTCTCATCTCTTACCAGAGGTCCTTTTACAGGATTATCATCAATGTAGGGACTGGTTATTTCAGGAGAAATATCCTGCATGACTTTGATCATATCCCTTTGAACCACTGCCACGCCGTTAGTCCAACCCTGAGGTACCACACACATCTGAACAAGCCCCCATGGCGTGTGCATGATAGTCATTGGTCGACTAGTGGGATCAATAGGGAACTGAACATAGCTAGAATACAGATCAACTAAAGAATAAATACATCGACCAGCAAAGGATTCAGAGAGGAGATCAGCATTGGGAATACTACCTGCATCACGTATCGTCACAGAATTGAGCTTCTGAAGATTTTGTATCCATCTTAGCCCGCCCCCTGATTTCTAGAAACAAAACCAGTGGTTAGCATACGGTCCATCAGCAGCTTCAACAACATTAGATGCAATGTTTTTGTCAAGATACTTCACAACTTCTGCCTCTTCTTTCATAGCAGACTTGGTTGGCCTATCATTCCATGGAACGTGATCAATTGTTCAAATCTTGGCCATCTTAATCATGTCCACGTCCAATCGCCCTCTCTCTTCGTCATTAAAGGAGAGCGCCAGAGAATTTCTGGCACATCATGAAA